GCCTTCCCAACCTTGAGATACACCTTTACGTGGTGGTTGGGATAAGTAGGAGATTTATTCTCCGAAACTAAGTTTCTTTTTTTTTTTTTTTTTTTTTTTTTTTTTTTTTTATATTTTCGATTTGTAATTGTAAAGTATATATTTTATTAATAAACTTAATAAAGTTAATGTTTAATAATAAATTTTTCGAATGTAAAATTTTATAATGTAAAACAATAAATATAAATAAATAAAAAATCTTTAAAATCACATAAAAATATTCGCAAAGTCTAAAAATTATCGTTAAATATTGTTATAAAGTTTACTAAAACATACTAAAACATTAGTGATAATTGATAAATCGTTATTAACGTTTTGACGAAATCTCTATTAATAAATATATGATCGTATCAACACAGATAGTTATTTAACGGAAACTACATAAAGGCAAGAAAAAGAAGGAAATTCCGATAACAAGCTTTGCTTGAGCATACAGTAAAGAGTATGATACGGTAATGCAAATTAGGACAGGCACGTAGAAATTAAGATAGTACGTACAGTTTTGTGCGAATTATAAAAAGAAATTCATTAAAAATTCATTAAAAAAAAAGAGATTATATACTCATAACTTACCATTACTCTAATATAGAAACCAGTTATAAGCAGATCCGTTATATAGTAGAATTTTATAAGGAACACTTATCGTTAGAACGCAAAAAGCAATTTATTGTCAAAGTTTTAAGCTATAATTGATCAAAAAAATTCTGAAACCGTCCAAATATCCAAAAATGTCCAAAGTAATATATTCAAATAAATAAAATTGTTTCAAAGACATTTTTTTATACATTTTACTTAGAAACTTAGTAATAAAATTCTGTGTAATTTTATTTTTTGTTCAAAAATATCAAAACCCACTCCAAAGCTATCTCGTGACAGAATGTCTTTGTCACTGCATAAAAAAAAAAATGTAAAATTGGTCAATCACGAAAGTATGCTATGCCCGTCCCTCACGTTTGTTTTTCACATTAATTACCGTGCTAAAAAAATAGGTTGCGTTAAATGATACGCCTCAACTTAATACAGTATTAATAAAATAAATAGATGAAAAGTAATTTTTATCAGATTATAATCACTCGATCCATTTTATTAAGCGTTCAATTAAAAACTCATTAAAAATACAATCCTTTAAAGCGCGACAAACATGAATCTTAAAAAAAAGAGGTAAATATAGTATTTATAAAGATACACTAAAAAAAAATATTTGTAATACAAAATTTCGTATATCATTTTATAGTCTTGCAGGTTAAAATTATCTATTAAATATATACATTTGTGTAATATAGAATAAAAGAAAATTTCATAAAATGGTTTACAGCAACAATTAATCTTTTATTTTCCCTTGTATAAAATTCTAAGGATCAAACTGTTTTTGTATTACTGGTTAGTGAAATGAAAAAAGAAAATCTTCAACAAAAAAAAAAACTGTAAATAACTCACCGATTCACCATTTATTCTAAAGTTATTCGATACCTTCTGATACTTCAGTTTGAACACTTGAGTAACTCATGGCATTTTTTTCCCAGACCTTACCATTACCTGGTGGAGATATTGGTATTGGTAGAAATATCGTATATATTGGACTTCAACCGATAGAATTATAAAAACTCTCTTAATAAACCCAATTTCAAAGCAATAAAGAAAATTTAATCTTTAAATGTACCTACTATTTGCTATGTAAGATAAATTTTTCAAATAATAATAAAAGTAATATGCTTAGCAATTATCAACCCCTTACTATAGAATTCTTAGAATTTAGTCAAAAAATACTTACTAATTCCGGCCAACATTAAAGAACTGACACAAATTTAATAAAGGACCGAGGTCGTATGGATTCACATATACCTAATCGAAAGAAAAACTAAATCAATATTCTGAAAATATATATGTATATATTACTTTGGCAAAACTGTAATTACCTCTCCCTTTGCTTTTGCAGTACGTCTCGCATACTGATTGTTATAAAACTCTACTGTTGTTTGTGCAGTCATGATCTAAAACGCAGACCAATAATTAACATTCAACTTTTTCTCCTAAATTATTAAGACAATAAATTTGACTTACTAGATAGTAATGCCATGAGCACATTCCCCCTACATACAATTTAAGAAGTAGTCAATTTTAGTATAGAATGAGTTAACTAAACGGTTAAAAGAAAAATTTATGGCATACCCAAAGCCAGGCCAATTGCAACCGCGAGCAAAAATGATAAAGCCATATAAGGACGTGGCATCCACCACTCCCACTGAAATACATAGATTATTAGCCATTATGCACTTGATTCATTACCATGCTAAACGGGGGAAAAAAAAAAAAAATTGGATGAATTGTAATACCACCCCAGTTTCTTCCAAACTCAATAAAAATGGTTTCCATCCAACGAGAGCAAAGTAAAAACATCCAATAACCAAATAAGTCATAAATAATAAAAAGTAACGATGATTGAAATGTCCAACACAATTTGCTATCCAAGGGCAATGGTGATCAAATCTTAACACACATTTTCTGCAAACAGAACAATGATGTGCACGCTCGGGTTTTGGAAGGTGACCTTTTGAAATAATTAAGCAATAAAATTAAAATAATTTGAGAATGAATCAAAATTAGAAATGAATAACAAAATTAGATAAATAATTAAATTGATACATTTTTTGCATGTTTTTGGAAATTCTTGGTATTCTTCCAATTCAAGAAACAAATCTTGCAATGTTGGATCATTGGAGTCCTAAATTATTGATGTTAGATTACATTGAAAAAGAAAAAAAAATTTTACGATTCAAAAAAATAAAGATAGCTTCTTACCGATTGCTCAACTCCAGCATTCAATACACCACCGGGTTTTGTTCTTATGGCCATGTAATAATGGAAAAAGATGCAGACAACAATATATATACTAAATATAAAACCCATATAGTAATAGAGCTTCGTCCAAATATAATCGTCGTCCCACGTATAAAAGTATGGAAATACAACTGTAAAGTATACTGTGGTAGCAAGGCCAATCAGTCCAACCGCAAGAACGATAAAAACGGGCCCAACAGCCAGTATAACCGTATTGGCCGCTTTATCGGCGGCCGCTATAAAATTACGCCATAAATTAGAATACATTCTACAAGAATCAATTTGAATAAAATTTCTTGGTCATTGAATTTTTTTGATATATACTAGAGAATCCATACAATAACCATACCGACTGTCTCTATATCGGACATATGAGAATGAAGGAGGTTACAAAGTTTATTAATGCATGATATACGTGCACAATTTATAGTATACATGTGATTTGTGCTTCTTCCCAATGTTTCGTATCCCGGTATAATTACTACATACCCTATCAGCATAACCTAATTACAACTCTACTGACATAACAAATGCAGCTTTATGCTAAATCAAGAAATTTTACGTACGTACGTCGTAAATACATTATCAGTTATGACTTTTTAGAAAATAAATTCCTTGGTTTGATCATGATTTAAACAAGATTTCAAACTTTATTATTAGATACATATCCCGTCGTACAAATTTTTATCAGCTTTGCGTTAGTCGACCTGAAATTCCTTATGAAACCCTGTCTAGCTAATTTAGTTCAACTAGATCTAGTAAAGAAAGGTGAAAAACATGAGCAGAGAAATGTAAATAAATAATAAACTTTTTTTCTATCTCTACGTTTCGTGGATTAGTCATTTTTGCCTAAAAATAGATCTTGGCTTTTTCTTGTTCGATTAATAAAGAAGTTTACATTGTCACATAATTCCTAATGACATAGTCAATTAATAAAAAAATGGCTAAGGTTCATATAAAATAAAAAATAATAAAGAAACACAGAATCCAGGTTTTTAATTTCATATAACCTATATGACCTTTATAACCTAACTATTGTTGGTAGCTCCCACAAAAAAATTTTCCTGAACGTGATTTTTAGCCAATTAGACCGATGGACCAGGTGTAACTAGAGGTGCAGGCGAATCGTCCCAATGATGCCGTAACTTTGCCGTAACTATATTAAATATAATTTACAAAATTACGTAACTTTTTATAATTTCCGAATTCATATAAAATAGACATTGTGTAATCAATATCAGCAATTCTTAGAAAAAACATAGCGATCTATATAAACTTTGATTATATGTGAAGATAAAATTTTTTAAAGCAATATATATTGCGCAACTTCACTATTATAAACAAACTGTTTTAAACTACATATCATATAAATTTGATACATATTAATTAAGATGTTAAAAAGTTTTATAAGCATTTTTTTATCATATCGGCTGATTTGATTTTTTGGGCTTTTTTTTTTGATAAACTGTTACATGAAAATTTGTTTCTAAGCGACGTTGAAAAGTAACAAATAAAACATTTATTACATTAACAACAAAGCTTTTTTAATGTCTAGAGTAGTTAAAAAAATAATAAAAACTAATAAAAGAGCTATGCTAAACTATAAAAAGAAGTACTTTTACCTTTTGTTAAAATATTTGGGTG